TTATTATTATTATTATTATTGTTGTTGTTGTTGTTAAAGTGAAATTCAACCACAGATCTGGATCCAGTTAAAACTTCATTTGAGTCTATAGATCTGGATTCTGGTCCACTGTTTGTGACCCCCTTGATCTAAGAACTGTATATGATAAAATAAAATAAAAATAGCTGAAACCAGTGGCCGTGGTAACCACAGACCTGTGTTTCACTCCCTGACAGCACTCTTATGAGAGGCAGCCATAAAAGTTTGACTCAAACAAATGTAACACAACTTRAAATCGTATTTTATCATTCTTGACCCGTGAGTTAAATCAGGGATGGACAACTTATATGATGGAAGAGACCACACAGGACGACACACTTACTCAAACGTAATAAAACGGCTATTTTAAAAAAAATGTTTATATGTTTGTTAAACCAACATACAGTGCAGGAAGTCATCATGTCTTAGAGTCCAGGAGATTGATCCGTTTTTTTAAAGGAGACATGATTCTTTTAAATCCTTCAATTGGGGTACATATAAAGTGGAACTGCAGTGCTTTGGTCTGAATTCCTCCTTGTTGCAACTCCACAAGCCCCGCCCCTTTTCTGAGACTTGTCTCAGATCAACTCGTTTTGAGGCTGTGTCTTCACTGCCCGCCCCACTCCAGCTCTTTCCTTGCATGAGGTGAACACTTTGGCATAAAAACCTGTAACTCCAGACTCTTTTTTTTTTTTCCACGTTCCTGTCTTTAAACCGAGCTGCACTTTGTGTGAGTTTGTGTAACGTTGTTTGTCTGGTTTTAGTTTGTAAATGAGGTGATTAAAGTCTGCAGCCCGCCTCAGATGTTTGCAGAGGTGTTCCAGTTTGTCTCACGTGAGTCYCAGCTTCGGGTCAATATTGACTCGGGTTGAAGTGAACTGTAATAACTTCTGCTCAGGTTCTGTTTCACTCTGATCAGCTGACAGTGTTGTGCAGGAACCCCTAACTGAAAGAAACAAAAGGGGGTCGTTGGGTTTGTGTCTCTGTGTTTGCTTCCACCGCCTCGTTGTGCAAAAACAAACATCTTTTATCTTATTTTTCCCAGCCGTGCTGCTCGATGATCCATACCAGCGTGTAAACATTGACAGCAGGACCTGACGGAGTAGTTTCTCTCTGTCGCTGCAGCAGAGCTGCAGGCCACAGAGTCATTATGGGTCATTTCCCTCTCCGCTTGTTCTCAGATACTTTGTTTTTTCCGCCCTCGCTGTTCTTTTCCGGAGACCCTGAGCCGCTCCGTCCTCCGGCTCTGGTCCTTCTGTCCCCTGATGTCATGGGCAGGGACAAAAAAGGAAATGTCCAGTGGAAACACTGCACCCAGAACAATGCAGCTAATGAAACAATAACATGCAGTCTGAGAGGAGGTGTTTCTTTTAACTCACATTCTTATTTTAGACTTCAGACTTTTATTTCTCCACAAACTACAACCATTTGTCTCTTTTCTGCTCGCACATTTTTACTGGTTTTGCAAAACGAACGTCTCAAACTCGCTTAAAGTTGGTGACTAATAAGAGAAATGATGTTTTTGGATCTTGTTTGATTCCATGAGAAATGTTTCAATAATCAGCAGTGTGCATACATCCACCTGTAATTTCCCTTTGTGATCATTATAGGGTGTTGAATTGAATTGAATTGAATCCACTACACCTGAGAGTTTCATTCATATCAGTGATTAGTAGGGTTGGGCAATACTGGCAAAAAAAGTRAATCACGATTAATTGTGGTATTTAGCCGACAACGATAAATTTGACGATCCCTTATGTCCTGGTCACATGACCAATGTAGTGAGAAAGATTTGCTCTTCATAAAAATCTGTTCCAAATTGTGTCAAAATTACAGACTTAAGGCTATGCATCAAATTTTAAATTGTGTTTATAGATAGAAAGAAGATGGATAGAAATTATAGAACTTTTTTTATTGTTCATCGTATTTGAAGCAGAGAGGAGCAGCGAGCYGACGCTGCCTGGTGGCATTAATCCTATTAATCGTCAAGTGCCAAAAAGTAATCCATTAATGTTTTTCTGACGATTAATTGCACACGATACGATTATGCCCAACCCTAGTGATTAGTGAAATATTTTGCTAACATACATCGACAAAGACAATTGRCTTTCATGGCAATAATCAGATAAGTTTGTCCCACTTTTTTATTTCTCCTCAGTTAGATTTTTCTGTGCTGRTTTAAACACTTGAACCATTTTAAAAGTCAAATCTGATTTAAATAATATTTTAACAGTTCTTAAAAAACATAAAAGCTCTCCRTTTTTGTCTTTTTATGGTCTAAAGCAGCAGAAGTGTCAGTAATCGTGTTTTTGACCATAAACAGGAGGGTTTTGTTGGTTCTGCTGGAGTTTACTGCGATGATTCATTTTTTATTTGGACGTTTTCAGCACGCATCCACAGTTTTTGTGCTCTTTCAACAATTCATTTATCAAAACATTCGGCTCCTTCAGGATGTTTACTCATTTTGAGATATTTAGCTTTTTCTGACGTTTGTTGTTTTTGTTAAAAATGAACGTCCTGAAAATCATTATAAAT